GAGTGCAAAGTGTATATTTCAAGCGTGTGGTCTAGTAGTAATTACATGGTGATCGAGTCGAGATAGAAACGAAAAGGCGAGACATAGCTTGCGAAATGCTGAAGCACAATGCCGGGGAACGGTGGGTGGGTATCTCAAACACTGGCAGGGCGTGCAGATGAGCGACCTCCCACGTCGTCGTCATTTTAAGATGAGGAGGTGGAGGCGTCGGACTCTGACGCAATAAACGCAGAGCTGGACAAGATGTAAGTAAGTAATGATAGATAAGAAGAAGAAGTTACCGCATACCTGTTGACCATTCGAGCACTCTGAGCTTCAGAGATAACGAGCGGAACGTTCTTCCCTTTCTTCGAGATGTCTTGTCCGGCCTGGGCACGACGATTGCTCCACACCACCTTCATTATGTCACGCTCACGCTGGGTGAGCTCGTACATGCGGCTATGGGATTCATGGCTAGTTGAACCGTGAACGTTCTTGAGGTGGAGGTCTAAATTGTACGTCCACACGGCATGTGATTTTGATCCACAACGCGGACTGACTAACTAACCCCCCGGTCCGGGATTCTGACTCTGCATCCACCTTGACAGAAACCTTGTTAAGCAAGGTAACAACAACCATATAGTACAAGACACGCCGTCGTTGCTCTGGCATCCAAGCAGCCGTTTGATGGTTAGGGAAGAGTGATGTTAGGCACTGTAAATTACAGCATGGAAGAGGTTGAGATACAAATTTTATGAAACCTTTTAACGCTAAGAAATGGACATACTGTACCTTAATCAGTGGGGGATTTGAATACGATTTGAAGGCAACGCTTGCCAGGAAAGTGAACGAGTATTTATGGTACCCTTACACCATTCATACTCCAGTACAGGAGGCAGGGAGTTCGGCACGCGTTTACTCCGTGGGTCAGAACACGAAGTTCTACACTGATCGCCTACAATCTGTGCACACATTGATCGCAAACATTCGACGTCTTTCGATCCCTGCCTCTTACAAAGCGCCCGGCTGTACATGATTGATATCATATGGAGTCCCTCAGTAAACGCCAATATATACAATCTTCTGTCTAGATGGTGACCAGTACAGCAACAATCGCAACTGCCAGTGTGTGACCAACTCCTGTAACCAAAGGATCCGCTTAAAGCGGTCGCATCGACGAACGCTACCAATAGTCTCATGTGTGCGGGAGAACCTGCCGATTCAGCGTCGTATGCATCCCAGTAGCGCCTATTACAGTTTAATTACTGATACAACTACCACCCTTGCACTACCAATGCAACAGGGTGTGGTTTCCCTTTTGTTCGCGCTACAGTTTGTTTTGGGCTGGTGAAACACATCTATACAAGCCTACAGGTCAATATATGATACAGTTTTCTAAGAAAAAGGTCAGGTAGAGCGCATTCAACACATGTTGCATTGAGGGTGCTGTGTTGCATTGGGGGTGCAAGGGCGGTATTCAAAACCTTTTGGACTTGAACAATGGGTCCCCAACGGACCGGATGATATCGCCGGGACAGATTTCTGATCTGGAGCGTCTTACATTCAGTACATGCTCGGAAGAGCCCGCTGCACACCGATTGAAGACTCATTCCGCGTCCAACATCTACTTGTTTATCGACAGTGAGTGGCGCAGCCACTGGTGCTGTTGTACAATAAAAAGGGATGTTATCCAAGTTCTGTGGGTCATCGGGAGTATGCCGTCGTCGGTAAAATGAGAGAGATGGTGCCGACAATTCATGAGATTTACTCATAACAAAATAGGGGATTGGACTTGACGCAAGCTGGTAATTGTCTTATCTCAGAAACACTTGGACGAGAGAGCCACAACAGTCACAGCTTATACATTATTTACTCTTCCCATCCGCACAAACAGAGTTCGACAGCTTATACAAATGTCACGGATTGTTCGACATCGACTCAGCAACGCCCTATCTTGCAGGAAGTTTGGAAGTGTAACAGATTGTCCATCAAATATACTAATCATACAATCACGCTATGTCAACGCATGGACGAGTACTACAAACGTCGACTTGAAACGCTTGGGCGCTATTTCTTACTCTTCTTCTGCCTTGCTTCTGCCTCTTCGCTCTACCCCCGGGCGATGGTGATCGACGTTTGCTAGAGTTGTCGGGAGCCTTCCCACTACGCATGGTGGCAATCATAGACTCCATTTGGCTAGCGTCAAGTTGCGAGATTATCTCTTCTTTGGTTGAACTCGATTCGCCTTCCTGGGCGCACTGAAATAAAGCGGGGGTAGGGATGATAGGCCTCAGGTGGAAGCCTCACCCAATGCGTTCCCCCCTCTCTCGAGGCTGAGGAGCTTCCTGTACCTCAAGACGGTATGGTAGAAGTTGATGCCCTAAGAAAATGTAAAAATGGACTACTGTCGCCTCAATAATACACTGACCGAGGCTGCTCGAGATCATCCTCATTCACGACATCGGCTTCGTTCCCTGACCTGTGAATGATTCCATTGTCACTATAACTCTCTCCTTTGTAGTTGATTCAGACACTGGCACCCCAACTACCTTACGCTTTTGCGACGCACGCGCGGAAAAGCGGCCATTACGACTACCTGCAGCTGCATTCGGAGTGCGCGTAGACGTAGAACCTCCCACGGCGACTGTGGAAGACACGTTAAGGGCAAGGGAGAGCATTTCAAACTGAAGGATTGCGGCTAAGTTTCAGCTACAGCTCACGCCTAATACACTGACGCTCGTGGTAGAGGCGGGCATGGGTGTGTTGACCCAGCGGTCCACAGAGCTATTGAACATGATCCTACGAAGCCATCGGCTCGTGCGTTTCGATGAGTGAAAGCACATACTCCGCTGTGCTACGCTGAACCATGTTTTGCACATACTCAGAAACAGCCAAGTCAAAGTGGTGTATTGGTGCCGGATTGGCGCGTCCGACGGCAAACAGCAGCGGCATCTAGAACTCTGGTACATTGTCTTGGTAAGACTCCTGAGACGGATCACCGGGGAAGGAAAAGAACTACTGCGGCTGCGCGTCCAACAGGATGGGACCGTCGCGATCGGGAAAAAAAATCCTTTGCTATTACAAACGCAAGCGTGTCATCGCGAGCAACCTGTCCTCCTACTGGGCTGTTAACACGAAGCTGAGCGGGAGGTGAAGACGTCGTATCCGATCGGAAGGCTGTGTTGTAAATGCAGTGGAACGTTTGCAAGATCGCTGACTGCTCGGAGCGGCGGACACCGTTGATGAGGCTGAACAACCCCGCGACAAATGGGGAGGATGTGTTAACTAGTAGCCAGAGGAATCTAGGCTCAGGGATACTGCAGCTCAGCGGCAGATTGTATCCTGTATTTAAGAGCGATGGGGCGGCGGCGGCGGCGGCGGGCGGGCGGGCGGGCCGGCATCAGGGAAAACATCATCGAGGGATTTTATCAAAATACGAGAGAATCTCTCGAAAACCAAGTTCACGAGTGACAATTACACTAGAAATCCGTGGAATCTGCGGGAATTCTCGAGATTTCCTCATGCCATGTTTGCAGCTGTAGTAAATAGTGGGAGTTTCTACTCCATTCCAAATGCATAGTAATGTATTGGTCGATCGGACAAAGAATCTTAACTTCAGGACAGGCATATGCTTGTATAGCAATTAGGGATACTTAAAAGAAACTCTCCATGCTATACATGTCTTGATGCTTGATACATCCGATAGCTAACATTGCATGTACTAGCTGTGAAATGAGAGGTCGCTAGGGACTGCGACGGCACAGGCGTGCTGTCCTCGGCAAGTTTGGGGTGCCAAAAGGGCAATCATGTTGTGTGGCGGCACAAGCCCGTGCGACCCCATACTTTCTACAGTGAAAGTGCTGAACAATTT